CAAAGAGCTGAAGGCTGGGGTTGCAGGGAAGGGGCTCTCAAAATCCCACCAGGTCTGCCTGCAGGCCAGCATCCCCGAAGACTGCGGACAGACTGCCGCTTCTCCTGGCTATGTGTTCTGCTGCTGGCTGCCCTGCTGCTCCTGCTGCTTGGGCTGTTGGTCGTCATCATCCTGGCCCGTAAGTCCCAGCCCTGCTGGGGAGAAGTCTTTATAATGAGACCCTATGAGCCCTTTGTCCCTCCACCCCCCAGGGATCTAGCTCCTCTAAAGTCCACACCCCCATCTTCCTGCCTCCAGAATTGCAGGCTACACCTTCATCTGGGGCCTCCTCTCATCTACTGCCCAGCCAAACCCTCACCACCACTGGCACCATGCCCACCCCTGACACCACAACCACCACCACCTCTCAGGCAACTGGGATTCCTAAAGGGCAGCAGGAGGCAGGCATGAGCCCCACACCCCAGCCCAGTGAGTACTGGGGTAGACCTTCCTGGGGAAGGTCAGGGGTGTCAGGGGTGGCCCACAAAGACACACCTTGGGAAATAAAAGGTGTCTCTCCTTTTGACCTCTCAACTAACCTCCTTCTCTGCAGCCTGTGGGGGCCTCCTTCCTGGTCCCGGGGGCTTCTTCAGCAGCCCCAACTACCCAGACCCTTATCCACCCAACGCCCATTGCATTTGGCATATTGAGGTGGCCACAGACCAAGCCATTCAGCTCAAAATTGACGCTCTCAACATAGAGAGTGTCGCCTCCTGTCTTTTCGATCGCTTGGAAATCTCCCCCGAGCCTGAAGGCCCCCTCCTCAGGTGGGTGCCTCTGACCCCTGTCCTGAACCCCTGTCTGGAGGGCAGAACCAGGGAGCTGTAGTGGGAAAGGCTTGATTAGGAGGAAAGGAATCTTGGCCTCTGGGCCCAGCTTTGCCACCACCTTGCTATGTGACCTTGAGAAGGTCATTTCCCTCTCACCTTGGTTTCCAAATCCATTAAATGGACCGCCTACCTATCTTTCTCATGAGTAAATACTACAAAGATGGACGTGCAGATGCTAGGATGGTCAGAGCTCCCTGGGAAACAGAAGGAACTTTTTTGACCACATGGTTACCAGATCAGGGCTTGAAGACTACAGGTTCAGGCAGCTTGGCTCTGGCTGACCTCAACCTCTGAGCCTCCATCACCCCCAATTCGGCTTCTTACAGAGTATGTGGGAGGGTGCCTCCCCCCACACTCAACACCAATGCCAGCCACCTCCGGGTGGCCTTCGTCTCTGACAGCAGTGTGGAGGGATTTGGTTTTCATGCCTGGTACCAGGCTGTGGCTCCTGGACATGGTGAGTGTTTTCCTACCGCTTCCCCAGCAACATATCAACATCCATTTCCCTCCCCTCCGGCCACTCCCAGCACCAGCAGTAAGCGTGGAGACTAGGGGTTTCTGAACACAGATGCCACCCCCAGGGAGCTGTGCCCACGATGAGTTTCCCTGTGACCAGCTCGTGTGTCTGTTACCTGAATCAGTGTGTGATGGTTTTGCCAACTGTGCTGATGGCAGTGACGAGACCAACTGCAGCGCCAAGATCTCGGGTACGGGCTCCTCGGGCACAGGAAGGGAGGGAACTGTCTTCAGGCATCTTGTCCAGGTTCCGGCTGGACTCCCCAGCTCTGTATCAGCTCCAAAGCTGCCCGGACATTCTTCTGGCTGATAATCAATCTACTCAGGGGAAACAGCCAGAACTCTTCTCTGCAGTCACTGCCGGCCTTGCCGGTGAAGGCACAAATCCTGACAAACTCATGAGCCATCATCCTGGTCCTCCCTCTACAGGTTGTGGGGGGAATCTGACTGGGCTCCAAGGCACTTTCTCTGCCCCCAGATACCTGCAGCAGTACCCTCACCAACAGGTAAGAGAGCGCTCCATGAGAGGAGCACCTGAGCCCCAGGGTCTGTGTGATCGCAAACAGCCTGGTAAACGTTGCCTCCAGGTGGGGAAGTCAGAGGTGGAGCTGGTAGGCAGGTGACATTATCAAGCACCCAGCTGTTTCCTTACTGGGTGAAGTTATCTATTCAATCTGACAAGTTAAAGCCTTTCCTATCTCAAGAACCAAGGCTGATGGGAGCCAGCTGGGCCTCCCCTCCCTGCCTAGCAGGGGGCTCAGCCTGGATGCCCAGGTTGGGAGAGGAGAAGGAAGCCATGAACTACTCCATCTGTCACGCCCCCTGCCCTCACCAGCTGTGCACCTGGCATATCTCAGTGCCTGATGGATACGGCCTGGAACTGCAGTTCCACAACTTCAGCCTGGAAGCCCAGGATGAGTGCAAGTTTGACTATGTGGAGGTGTACGAGACCAGCAGCTCCGGGGCCCTGATCCTCCTGGGCAGGTACGGCAGAGCCAGGACAGGGGTGCCGGGTGAAGTCCCTCCTCCACAGCCTGGCCAAAGCTTCCTCTACATTAGCCCAACTCAGTCCCTCGCTTTGTTTTCTCCTGCTCTTCCAAATCAAGGTTTTTTCCCTGTCCTGAAAAAGACTGTCCTTCCCACCCCAGAGCCTCTGTTCCTTATGCAACCCTCCTCTGGGAGTAAGGGGACCCTTTCTTACCTCTCCCACCCCAGTGCTTCCCACCCTGCAGACTGTATTTCCCTTGCCCCACCAACCCTCCCTGACTTTTCCCATCTCGAGTGGCTCGAGTTCAGTTTGTGTAATATTTTGCAGAAGACGTGTCCTCCTCACCAGACCATAAGTTCCATGAATCAGTGACTAGGCCGCCCATCCCCTTGGCATCACCCAGATCACCCAGCTAAGAGTGAGGTTTGAGGACTACTCTCTGCTTCAAACAGGTTCTGTGGAGCACAGCCGCCCCACCGCCTCATCTCCTGGAGACCCCACCTGGCTGTGCTCTTTAGGACCAATCATGGCATCAGCAGCGGGGGCTTCTCAGCCACCTATCGGGCCCTCAATGCCACAGAGAGTAGGTTCCCCCGGGCGAGCGGGTGTGGGCCATAGAGGTGCCTCCAGGAAATTCAAGCGGGACTCTGGACCCTGGTCAGCAATGTGAAGGCAATGGGGGGTCCAAGTGTGTCCAAGGGCACTGCCACTGCCATGCCCACCCCACCCCCCACTCCATGCCTATAGACCCCTGTGGGCCCGGAGTGTTCTCCTGCCAGGACAGTGGGTGTCAGAGTCTGCAGTGGATGTGTGACACATGGAGAGATTGTGCAAGTAGCAGTGATGACAACTGCAGCAGCCCCTTGTTCCTACCCCCAGGTGAGAAGACTGCCCCAGGTCACCCAGCAGGGCCTGGCTGGCTGAGCAGTCTGCATGCCCATTCATTGCAACCCTTCTGGCACACTTCATTAGGACCCCCATCCCTGTCCTCCCTGAGGGGAGTCCTGGAGGGACTCATACCTGGAAATGGCGGTGGTACTCAGTGTCACCCCCAAGGGAAATGGATATCTGGGATCATGGGTGGGGCTTCAAGAGCCAGTCCAGCTTTGCTGACATAGAGAGCCCCTCGCCACACCCACCTCCAAGATGGAGGTGACCGCAGGGGAGTTTCCTCCAGATGGCCCAGAGTCACTGCCAATGCTGGAGTCCATGCTCCCTGAGATGATCAAAGAGGTGCCACATGATGCCCAGGACTAGCCAATGAGGCCAGGAGCGGGTCCTGGAGGATGACATGTGGGAAGCATTACTCCATGTTATTCCCACTCACCCCCCAGCAACCCCCCACCCACATAGAGCCGTAAGGTGACTTGCCCCAGGTCACACAGTCCGGGAGTACTGGAAAGTGACCTGACCCTCTCCCTGTTCCCCGCAGAGCTGGCCTGCGAGCCCATCCAGGTGGAGATGTGCATCGGCCTGAGCTACAACACCACAGCCTTCCCTAACATCTGGGTGGGCATAGCCAGCCAGGAGGAAGTGGTGGAGGTCCTCAGAGGTTACAAGGTGCTCTGTGGAGAGAAAAGGAGGGGCCCCCAAAAAGGAGTGGGATCAGGAGGGGTGCCTGAAGGGCTGATCTCCTCCTTCCACAGAGTCTGACAAGTCTGCCCTGCTACCAGAATTTCCGGAGGCTCCTTTGTGGGCTGCTGATGCCCCAATGCACCCCGATCGGCAGTGTTCTCCCCCCTTGTCGCTCAGTCTGCCAGGAGGCAGAGCAGCATTGCCAGTCTGACCTGGCCCTACTGGGCACCCCCTGGCTTTTCAACTGCAACAGGCTGCCTGAGGCGGCTGGTCTGGAGGCTTGCACCCAACCCTGACCCTGAAGTCACCTCTGCCCTTTGTCTCCCATCCTCCTTGGCCTGTCAGGGTGGGCAGGAAGGGGAACAGAGGAGGGGGCAGCACCCAGCTGTGCCCACCCTCTCTGGGCCTCCTAGAGAAGTCCTCAAGCACTAATGGAACTCTCCCACCCCACCCACCACCCCACGCAGCTCCTTCCCTGCTCCTCTGCTCTCAGCTGCCACAGGGCTGGTCAGGCTCCACTGTGCCATTGGCAGTCTACAGACTTCCCACCCAAGTCTGACCCGGATTTCCTATTTTCTGCCTTCTGCCTCTTGATCTTCTTCAGGTCTCTTCCATCCCCAACCCTTTCTGATTTCATTTATTCCACAAAAATCTATTAAGTGCCTGATATTGTGCAGGCCCTGTCTAAACCTTGGGGATCCAGCTGTCTCTCTGCCACTAGAACTTTTCACCCTCTCTTCTGGGCTCCTTTCCCCTGCATGAGTCTCGTCCTGGGTGCCTCCCAGCGGCAGCTCTCCCAGGAGCAGCAGTGCGCCGAGCCTCAGCTCCCAGTCCTGCCTCTCCAGGCCGGCTCCCAGCTCAAGTCTCTCTCCCCCTCCTTGCCCTCCCCAGACTTTGGCCAGCCGCCGGCCGACACCACGAGTTATTTCCCTGCTATTTCCCGGCCCCGAGCTCTTGGCCCCCGAACAACTGGTTTCCTTTTGGGAGGCTGGGAGGAGCAGAGCGGAGCCGGCAGAGAGCGAGGCTGGACCAGGGGAGGGGCGAGGGCAGGGGGCGCGGAGCTGAGGAGCAGCGCAGTGGCAGTGGCAGCAGCAGCCAACCGGAGGGTCCAGAGCAGCCGGCACTCGGCAGAAGGGAGCAGAGGAATCCAGAAGGGTGGTGAGTCTAAGGGAGCGAGCCAGCCGGAGGCGACTGCGGGAAATATTGGGCACCACCAGCGGCGGGGGGAGGGGAGGGACCCGCCTCTCCCTTCCTGCCGTGCTGTGCTGTCCGGGTCCTGGGGTCTGGGAGCCCCACCTTCCTCGACACCCCACGGCTGAGCAGCCTGGAGCATGGCAGGGGGCATGGCAGGGGGGTGGAGACCAACGTGGCTGCCCTGGGTGGGGAACAGGCAAGGAACAGGATTCCGGGTTCCGACTCCTCTCCTGCCCGGCCCGCAGGCTGACAGAGAAGCCCGTCGCCCACGCTGCGGGTGCCAGCGCTATGAGGCCGCTCCTCACCCTGCTGCTCCTGGGCCTGGCAGCCGGCTCACCCCCGCTGGATGACAACAAGATCCCCAGCCTGTGTCCCGGGCACCCCGGCCTTCCGGGCACTCCGGGCCACCACGGCAGCCAGGGCCTGCCTGGCCGCGACGGCCGCGATGGCCGCGACGGCGCACCCGGGTCTCCGGGCGAGAAAGGCGAGGGCGGGAGGCCGGGTAAGAAGGCACCTTGACGGCCATCGCAGGGACGTCGGAGCGAGCACCGCCCCTGCACTGGCTCTGCAGTGCCCTTGCGCCCGCGGGCTCCGGGTGCTCACCAGGGGGCGCCACTCCCTCCCCTCCGGTTCCGCTGGGCTCTGGAAACTGGGGAGAGAAGACAGTCTCGGGAGGCAGAACAGCTGGAACCCTCTTTGACCGCCCAGGCAGATGTGCGGGACCCGAAGGGGTGACGAAGGGGTGACGCTGGTGCAGAGGAAGGCACCAACCAAGGCAGTGGCGGCTGGGCGCGTCAGAGAGGCTGGGGGAGGGTCCTTGCCCTCGCCACCCTCCCACTCTGCTGCAGGAGGACCCGGGACCTGCCATTACATTCACCCTAACTGCTCTCCTTGCCCCCCTGCAGGACTCCCAGGCCCCCGTGGGGAACCCGGGCCACGCGGAGAGGCGGGACCAGTGGGGGCAATTGGGCCTGCTGGAGAATGCTCGGTACCCCCACGCTCTGCCTTCAGTGCCAAGCGCTCCGAGAGCCGGGTGCCTCCGCAGTCGGATGCGCCCCTGCCCTTCGACCGCGTGCTGGTGAATGAGCAGGGACATTATGATGCCGCCACCGGCAAGTTCACATGCCAAGTGCCCGGGGTCTACTACTTCGCGGTCCATGCCACAGTATACCGGGCCAGCCTGCAGTTTGATCTGGTCAAGAATGGCCAGTCCATTGCCTCTTTCTTTCAGTTTTTTGGGGGGTGGCCCAAGCCAACCTCGCTCTCTGGGGGTGCCATGGTGAGGTTGGAGCCAGAGGACCAGGTGTGGGTACAGGTCGGCGTGGGTGATTACATTGGCATTTATGCTAGCATCAAGACAGATAGCACATTCTCTGGATTTCTGGTATATTCTGATTGGCATAACTCCCCTGTCTTTGCTTGACACACACTGTAAAGTGAGCTCTACTCTCACCCGTAGGGGAGAAGGGCATGATATTGACAGTAACATTATCTGGGAGGGCTGGCTCCCCTGGAATGTTGTGAATCACTACAGGGTAGGGTGGGGCCTCTCCATCCTGCTGTTCCAGGGAACAGGACAGAGGCTGAGAATGGGGTTGGCAGCGGGGCAGGAGCTGGATTTCTGCCCAGGACCAAAGGAGCGCACTGTGCTGGCAGCTGTGGGAATCCCAGTTACCCCAGTCCAGGATCCCAAAGCAGGGTGCTTTTTTCCTGTCTTCTTCTCTGGGTCCCCCTTTGTCCCTTCTGTTCCTAGGTCCTTTCTCAGAGATCATTCAATAAATCTAAAAACCCTGCTACTGGATTCAGCCTTTCTTCTAATGATGGGGATAATACCTTGAGAGTTAGGGAGAGGGGATAAGGATGGGGGAAGAGGCAGAGAGGATCTTGGGCTGGTTGGAGCTAAGGAGTAGACCAAGGTGAATGACAGTGCTCCACAGAGCTGCCACCTAAGTTACGTAGGTTGTGAACAGCAACACCTGGCTGAAAAGGGTGCCCTTCTGGCCTAAGGCTCCGGCTACCCAGAGGAAGGAATATCTTTTTCTAACTCATAGATGTCATATGAACTGGATGGCAGGTACCTTCACCACACAAACCTCTGACCTTATCCACAAAAGGGAGTCCAGGATTCTCATTCATGACTGTCCTGGCTGCTTGCCTGGTTCCCTGGATGACCACAAAGCTGTTTCTGTTCCCCATGCCAGAGGAGTGGAGTGTCTTGGGCGTCTAAAGAAGTCGGTTCTTAGATGACCACCAGGGGGCGCACCAGCTCCGGAATGCTGCAATGACCGCCTAGCTAGGGCACCTGACTATTGGGGTATAGAAGGGGAGGAATGGGGGGCCTTCCTGGTGACGCAAGGGGTTAAGCACCGCATTATGAAGCAATCCGCAGCCTTTGCAGCATGAGTTCAATCCCCAGCCGGGAACCCGCATGCAGGCCGGGAACACGCATGCAGGCAGGCCGGGAACTCACATGCAAGCCAGGAACTCACATGCAACCCACATGGCACAGCAGACCTCTCCTGGCTCTCCCAGCTGCTCCTCTCAGCAGTGTATTTCTGTCAGTCTGCCTGTTCTGTTCCCCACTTTGTCTCTGGTGAATCCTCTCACCCCCCACACCTCTGGCCTGTACCCCAGCTCTTGTATGCATAAATAAATAAAATCTTTTTAAAAAAATAACAAAAGAAGGGGAGGAATGGTATTGAGGTTTGCCAGTGGAATTCAGATGGGGGTGGAGAAAAAGCGGTCCTTTGCTCCAGCTCAGGAAGTTTATTTTCACTCATAAAGATGTTTATCCTCACATTAAATAGACTGGAAGGAGACAAGCCTCCCCTTGCTCAGCTCCCTCTCCAGGGTTGGGGGAAGGGAAGAAACGTTCCCTTTTGGCCTCCCCACTCCTACTTGCATGTGAGGGAACTCCTCCCCCACTATGCTGGGCATAGAACGGGTGGGCCGAGCCACCAAGTCTGAGGCTAGCCACAAAGTCCCTTCAAGGCTCCCCTCCTCTGATTACTCCCACCCCAGTGACTAATAAACCAGAGCCCGCCAATCCCATAATCAGCTCAGCCTCCCAAGACAAAGTGCAGGAATCTCTCTCCAATTTCTTCCAGACTTACCCCTTTTCCCTCTTATTCCCGCAGCCTCCCACCCCCAGGCAATACCAGGCATTTGGCTTCTAGATTTAACATACAATTATGGGGGAGTGTCCCCATCTATATGACCAATGGGGCCAGGTAATGAGCTAGAGACAGGCCTGAGGTATCCTGGGCTTCAGTATTTGGCTCTTCACCGGGAGGATCTGCAGCCACATTCCAGCCCATCACAGCACTATTCTACACCAAGAAACAGACAAGCGCCACTCCTCCAGGGATCAGAGGATTAGACTGGACCCCAGGCAGCAGGAACCCCAAGTTCCCTCCTGGGAAGAGTGACACCAAAGGAAAAGCTGGGAAGGCTGACTCAGAGGTAAGAAAGTTCACAGTCTTCTCTACACTAGGGCTTAATTATGGCAAAAACTGAAAAAACAGGGAGGGCTTTCCAAAAGCCATGTAAGAGGTTACAAATAGGTGGGGGTGAAAGGTAATCCTGCCACACCTGGCGTGGCTCTCCCCCAGGCACAGGACTCCCACCCTATCTTCCTCTACCCCCACTATGACCCCGGCAGGACTAAGAACCCTGCCGCAGCATCAGTTCCCTAACCAACTGCTCCCCTTTGCCAGGATGCACACAGAGGCTGTCAAAGCTGTGAAGGGAACTTTATTCACTGGAAACTGGGCCAGACTGACCCCTTAGGGAGCTGCTTGCCCCCAGGTCCTGGTCCCTTCTGTGTTTGGACCCTAGTGAAATGTGCACAGTCTGCCCTCCCCAATGCTGGAGGGACAAACAGAAGGGGAATGCTATTTTTTTTTCTGTGATGTGGGGGATAAAAGGGGTATGAGTAAAAATCTGGTTATCCCTCCTGAGGTTCCCAGTGAAACTGGAGAGCCAGAGGGTACATGGTCCCAAAGTCGAGCGTGCGCACGCGCACACACACACACACATCCCCCAACGCCCACACCCCAAGGGGTAAACTCTTGATCCCAACTCTTGGATCAGGTTGGGAGAGAGGCTCATCAGATCAAGCAGAGTGGTAGCTCTAAGGGCACCTGAGAGATACTACCCCCCCAAGTCTACCAGGGCACAGGGGCTCCCCTAAAAACAAAGATTCAAGATCATCCTAAGGCCCTTGAGTTGCCAAAACACCCAAATGACACTGATGTGTGGTGGCTGCAAAAGCTGGGGAGGAAGTGAGAAGGGATCAGGCAGAGGACCTGAAAATACCAAAAAAAAAAAACCTAGAAGCAGAGAGGGGGTGCCCCAGAGGCTGGCATCTGGGTGGGCCCTGGCAGGTTGGAGAAGAGTCCACAGTGAACAGTCTCAGGGCCTTGCATAGTGACACACTCACCACCCTCGACATCACAGGGCTCCAGTGGGTAAGGAGAAGCTGCTTCCTTGCCCCCACTCAGGTCAATATTCTTCCCGAGTATCCCATCTCAATGTCCTGGATGTATGGCTTGGAGGCTTGGCCTGACAGTCATGGGGCAGGAAGAGATTCAGTCCAGGACTTGCAGATCAGGTGTTAATGCTGTCCTAGCACAGGCAGATGTGGGGAGCATGGAGGGCTGGGCAAGCAGGAAGGGACTCTTCAGAGGTAGACATTGAGCGTCTGCAGGATGCCCCGGCGGCAGAGTGGGCAGTTGCGGTGGTAGATGGGGTGGCGCATCAGGATTTCAGTGCAGGCCTGGCACAGGCATAGGTGCCTACAGGGCAAAAGCAGCACCGTCTTGCTCTGGTCCTGGCAGATGACGCACTTTTTCCGCTCCTCTTGCTCCTTCAGCAACTTCCATGGGTCTTGTCCAGGGGTAGGCTCCTCCTCATTTAAACTCTCCCGACCCCGGGAAGATGTTGCTCTAGCCATCCTGATCTCCTCCCCTGTCTCCAGTCCTGGCACCGCCTCTGGAGGAGTGTCCTGTCGCCAGGTCCTGGCAGAAGGCATCCTCCTAGGAACACCCTGGGGAGCCCCAGGTGGCCCTCCCCAGTTCTGCCAGCTTGCCAGCTGCAGGCTGCGGCTCCAGACTCTCCGCCAGGCCTCCAAGTCCAGTGCTAGACGAGAAAGTCGCACAACATCCTCTCGGAGCCGATGGTAGGATGGCCCAGCATAAAGCTGACCAAGTGCCCGGGTGCCCAGCCTCAGGGTGAGATCCGGGTGTAACACAGACACTATCACTACCAGCACACAAGCCAGCAGCACCAGGCCAGTAAGATTGACAAGCACAAAGCTGGCTAGAAGGCGGGCAGCTGAGGCCAGGAGCTCCAGTGCCAGTTGGCAGGGGGTCCACAGGAGGATGGCCATGGCTACAGCACTGCTGGAAATGTGGGCTACAAAGGCAGCCACCACATCCGTCATTCTCCACAGTGGCCCCATCACTGCATCCCACAGGGCCAGCACCAGGGAGAAGAGGTTCTGAGTGCCAATGAGAAAGATGTTGACCAGGCTGTTGACCACATAGGCCACCAGACTCATGGCAATGGCACAAATGTCACAAGCCTGGCGCAGCAAAGCATGGCCACTGGAGACCACATTGAAGACTCCCCGGTGCAGTATCTCCCGGCTCCGCAGAGCCCCATGAGAGGCCAAGTGTCCCAGGAGCTTTAGGCTCTCCAGGCCAGAGCAGCAGCTGTATAGCAGGGTACACAAGGCTTGCAATCCCCCAAAGGTGAACCGGACCAAGGCTTCGATCAAGGCCAACAGTGAAAGCAGGACTCCACGGCCCAAGTGCAGAAGACTAGTCAGTACCGTGTGTGGCAGGTTGTAGATGAAGGCCAAGAGCCAGGCCACAGAAGCCAGCAGAGAGGACACCAGCAGGAAGTTGAGATCCAACACCACCGTCAGCACGTCCAGCACCAGGCCGACCCCATTCACTACCAGATATACAGCCTCCATGGCAGCACTAAGGAGGCTAGTCCAAAAGAAGTCTAGCTCTGGGTTAACAGGTGTGTCAAGGTTGTCAATATCTTGGGAGGTCGGGGATTAATCTGGAATGGACGTGAACAGTCTCTGACCCTGGGAGAATCAAGAATCTGAGGAAGAAGAGCGTTAGAAGGAATTACAGTCTCAGTGGAGATAAAGCGGGCCAGGTACCCGTCCAAGAGTCCCGGTTTTCAAGGCGAGCTGTTTAGGAGGAAGGTCAAACATCTCTGAAGTGGAGGTGAGCGCGGGATGGAGAGACCTCAGCTTTGGCGACCAGGTGGCAGCGCACCACAGCCAGGCAGTGGGGCAGACCCAGAGCAGACCCGGAACGGATGGGTTCGGGCCGGGCCGGGCCGGGTGGGGGCAGCGCAGGCTGGGCGCGGGCTCGCGGTCCAGCTTTGCAGATGCCCCTGTCCCCGCCCGGCCCCCGTCCTCCGGGCTCGAGGGGCTTTGCGCCCAAAGGGGCAGTCGGAAAGATAGTCAGCCGCAGCAAACGGCAGGCGCGGCCTCCACTCCGCTGGGCGCCGCCATCTTGTGCGCGAAGGGGTAGGGCAAAAAGCGTAACAGGGTGGGAGGGACGATGAATTCCGACCAATCGCTGAAGCCCAACCTCAGGGAACGTCTAGCAGTCATTGGTCTGTTCGAACGGCGCCCAACATTTACCTCCCAAGGGGAGGGGCCGAGACGAGGGGAAAGCCCGGCCCCTTTGCGGCGGCGATTGGTCAGTTGATGGACAGGGGCGGGCTACACCTTCCTAGCCCCGCCCCCTAAGGGAGGAGGCCTTTTGAACTGCCCTAAGTAAGGGCCCAGTGTTTGGTACCTGAGTGTGAGCCTTTTAGGTACTGGTTGGGAGTCCTTGCATCTGAGCTGGGCTCTGGGATTGTGCCGCCTCCGCAGCTTCCTAAGACTCGCTGCTTGGTCTTCCACCAAAAATGTTTAAGAAGGTGGGCCTCCCTGGTGGTGCAAGGGGTTAAGAACCACACTATGAAGCTAGCCTCAGCCTCTGCAGCGCTGGTTCGATCCCAGCCAACCGGCTGGGGGCCCACAATGCGCGGCAGACCTCGCCTGTCTCGCCCGCTGCTCCCCTCAGCAGTGTATTTCGTCAGTCTGCCTGTTCTGTTCTCCGCTTTGTCTCTGGTGAATCCTCTCACCCTCCCGCAAATCTGGCCTGTACCCCAGTTCGTGTATAAATAAATAAATAAATCTTTTAAAAAAAAGTGTTTAAGAAGATGCCAGTTCTTAAGCAGTTCACAAGGGAAAACAGATTGTTACAGGGAATTTCCAAACTGCTATTCCAAACTGTTTCCTCAAACTCTATCAGATTTTCTGAGCATCCTCAGGAGATTACTTCATTGTCATTGGGGAAAAAAAAGGACAGAGACCGGAAACAGCTCCCTCCCCTATGCCAGCCCCTGTTAATTTGTTTACTTGAACACTAGTTAAATGTCTAAGCCTGGGCAGCTCCATGTTCCTTGAGAAGTTAGACTTTTCGTTAATATTCAAATATTTAAGATATATTTGAGACCTCATCCCAAATTGGAAAGCCTAAGATGCTTGGACGGCATGTCTTTCCCCTTGTCACCATTGCTTTAATTTCATGCTTAGAGTGAAATCTTAATCTCCACTCTGGCCTGGAGTCTTGAAAATCTCTGTCCCCTTTCACTGCACCCTGAACACTGTCTGAATTCTTCACTCCCCAAAGCACCACTGACACAAAGCTCAAGTATGTAGCACACTTTCATTGCGATATTAGGGTCCCTGGAGGGGTTACACTATAGCACAGAGCAAGTATTGCAGTTTCTAAAATTCCTCTGGTTTTCCCCCAGCCTCCCTCCCACACCTGTCAGGCCCCAACTTAATATTGTCTATATCTTTTTTTTTCTTTTAATTTATGCATTCAAGAACTGGGATGTAGGCCAGAGGTATAGAGAGTGAGAGCATTCACCAGAGACAGGGTGGAGAGCAGAGCAGGCAGAGCCACTGAAATACACTGCAGATGGGTGCAGCGGGCTAGATAGGGGAGGTCTGTTGCACCATGTGGGTTAGTTCCCTGGCTGAGGATGGAACTCTTCCACAGTGGCTGGCAATACCTTGATAGCGCTGAGACATTAACCCCTGAACCACCAGGGAGGCCCAATAGCTCGTTTTCTTAATGCCTGAATAAATATTCCGTTGTGGCTGTGCCTATCAGTTTATTTCTCTATTCACCTATTGAAGGGCATCATGGATGCTTCCAGATTTGAGCAATTATGAATAAAGCTGCTGTAAACTTCCATGTGCAGGTTTTGGTGAGAATATATGTTTTCGGCTCATCTGGGTAAATATCAAGGAGAACTACTGCTTGATCATAGGGTAACATTGTGTTTGGTTTTATAAGAAACAGTCAAACAATCTTCCAAAGTGACTGTACTATTTTGTACTCCCACCACCATTGAATGAAAATTCTTGCTGCTCCAAATGCTCACCAGCATTTGGTGTTTTCAGTGTTTTGGATTTTATCCATTTTAATAGGTATGTAGTAGTATTTCATTGTTGTTTTAATTGGCAATTCCCCAGTGACAAATCAGGTTAACACTTTTTTTTTTAGATTTATTTATTTATGCATATAAGAACTAGGGTGTAGGCCAGAGGTGTGAGGGGGGGTGAGATGATTCACCAGAGATAAAGTGGGGAGCAGAACAGGCAGATCTACTGAAATACACTGCTGAGGGGAGCAGTGGGGAGAGACAGGAGAAGTCTGCTGCGTCATGTGATTTGCTTGCTGGCCTGCCCATGTCTAACTCTTGCTACAGTGGCTGGCATAGCTTGAGAGTGCTGTGTCTTTAACTATTGCGCTACCAGAGAGGCCCTGTTTTCTTTTTGAGTATTAAGAGTTCTTCATTTTGGATACAAGTTCTTAATCAGATATTTATTTTGCAAATATTTTCTTTCATTTTATGTCTTGTCTTTTCAGTCCCTTAACAGTGTCTTTCACAAAACCTAAGTTTTTATCTTTAAGGAAGTTCAGTTTATCAACTTTTTCACTCATGGATTATGCCAGAAAGTCATTGCCAAATGCAAGATCAGTTGGATTTTCTCCTATGTTATCTAGACATTTTATAGTTTTGCATTCAACACTTAGGTCTACAACATTGCATTAACTTTTGTGAAACATGTAAGGTCCATGTCTGATCCTTTAGTACACAAATACCCAGTAGTTGTTTTACTTTTTAGAGGATTAATTTCCTTAATTTTTAAAGTTTTTAAGATTTATATATTTATGCATATAAGAACTGGGGTACAGGCCAGAGGTGTGGGGCTGAAAAGATTCACCAGAGACAGAGAGGGGAGCAGAACAGCCAGATCTACTGAAATACACTGCTGAGGGGAACAGGTGAGGCAGGAGAGGTCTGCTGTGCCTGTGCATAGCTCCCTGGCCGGCAGGGGATAGAACTCATGTTGCAGTGGCTGCAGCTGCGACTTAAACCCTTGTGCCACCAGGGAGGCCCCATTTGTGTGTAATTTTGACTTTTGGAAGGATACTAAGGCATTACACATTTTTAAAATTCAGTTAAATAAACAAAATGAGAAAAAAAAATAACGAAAACTGAATGAAAATAGAAATAAATGAAACCAACTGTATTTTATGCAATAATATAATGACACCAAAAGGAGGGAAGTAAAAACAAACAATATTCCCTTAGCCCTGGGGGAGGGAAAAACCTCTGGAATTGTTTTTATTAGTTTTGCTTTTCATAGTAGTAGGGGTGTAGCCACTCTGAAATACTGCTGGGAGTCAGTGTTCTTTCTTGGAAGAAGGGAGACATAAATATGGAATGTAGGAAGGTAAGGTAGAACCCCAGAGTTGGGTCATAATTGGAAGCTACCAGTATGAACTCTTTCTAATATACATAGAGATGTTAGATACATTAAATATGTAAATATATAATATATCTATATATTACTGTATAGAAACATGTGTGAAAATATATATAAACATAAATGATATATACACTTTTTCCAGAACTCTGTCCACTGAAAGGACCGAGGAATAATGTACCCCAGTTGTTGTGAGCATACCTAGTGCCAGATCTTAGTTTCTTTTCTTTCTTTTTTTAAAGATTTTCTTTATATTTATGCATAGAAGAACTAGAGTATAGGCCAGAGGTTTGGAGGTGGTGAGAGGATTCACCAGAGACAGAGTGGGGAGCAGAACAGGCAGATCTACTGAAATACACTGCTGAGGGGAGCAGCGGGTGAGAGAGGAGAGGTCTGCTGCGCCATGTGGGCCAGCTCCCTGGCCGGGGATTGAACTCAGGCCAAGCGCTGATAGTGCTGAGACTTAACCCCTAGGCCACCAGGGAGACCCCCCAGATCTTAGTTTCTAACTTCCATTGCCCACTAGAAGGTGCCAGAATTCCTTGGGAAAATGGTTGACTTCACAGCAAGGTCACAGAAGACCTGACGTTGGTGATTGGGAATAGCTTGTTGTGCACGAACACTCATCCTTTCTTACACAGAGGTGCCTTCTGTGTGTAGCATTGTCTGCCTAGTTTTTAAATTTGAAAGTATAATCTGGCCATCACTCTATCAGCACACAGATATACGATCCTTATTCTCTTAACCACCGTGTAGTGCTCCACTGCGGAGCGTTGATTCAAGGATTATTTAGGGCACTCAATTAAGTGTGTTTCCCACCTGAATTTGGATTTGGAAGGAGCGAAGGATGCCTGGAGGGTGTCCTCAGGGTGACAGGTGGGTGACCAAGGTCCCCTCACATTCATCTCTCATGCTACTGTGAGGGGCCTGGGATTGGAGGCACCGGCTCATTGAAAGTAAGAGTAAGGGTACATCGTGTGTAGGGCAGCCTCCCCAGGAGGGACTGGATGTTTCCAACCTCAGACACCCTAGGGAGAACACAAACTTTGACATGGGAAACAGGACCTTAGAAAGTGGGACCTTTGGTTCTGTCTCTCTGGAGTCGCAGCGATAGTGGTTCCAAACTGGTTTGCAGGGGCTCCTCTGCTTAAACCCAGTCACACACGCCTAGACCCGTTACCATGATTTACAAGTTCTCTGCAATCTAGTTTCTCCCTCACTAACACCATTTCTCCCTTGCAGGACACTAACCAACTGTGCCAGCACAGAGCATGCTAGTTCACACCGAAACAGCACATGCCAACCCCACTCACCTGGTTATCTACCATTGTTCCTTGAAATGAAGTAAGGTATTGGACCTCCCTGGTGGCGCTGGGGTTAAAGACAGCGTTATCAAGCTGTTGCTAGCCACTGCAGCAGTAGCTGGATCCCCAGCCAGCCAGGGAGCAACCCATATAGCGCAGCAGACATCTCATGCCTCGCCCACTGCTCCCCACTGTCTCTGGTGAATCCTCTCACCCCCACCCACCGGCACCTCTGGCTTACACCCCAATTCTTATATGCATAAATAAATCAATCTTTAAAAAAAAAAAATGAAGTTAGGTATTAGACCTCCCTGGTGGCGCAAGGGGTTAAGCACATCACTGTGAAGCTATCTGCAGCCTCTGCAGCATGAGTTTGA